TTTATTATTTTTCTTTTATGTGTATGAGTGTATTGCCTGCATGTGTGTAAGCGCACCCGTGTTGTGCAATGCCCTCGGAAGTCAGAAGAAGGTGTCAGATTCCCCTGGGACTGGAGTTACAAATGGTTGTTAGCCGCCATGTGGGTGCTGGGAATCGAACCCGGGTCCTCTGCAAGAGCAGTCAGTGCTCTTAACTGCTGAGTCATCTCTCTGGCCCCTTGGTGTTGACTTTTTATCATCTATGGACTGGACGGTGCTTGAATCAGGTTTGAGAGCCAGTCCCTAGCCCAATGGCCTCTAAAGTAAGGCAAAAATATTCATGTGTCCAGAAAAACATTAGCTCTTCTACAGAATTTATTTTCTCACCTGTTTTATATTTCTATTTTATGTATAGCTGCATAATTACATAATGTTGCTGAAGTGATTTATATATATATATACTTTATAAACAAATATTCACGTAAGGAGATTTGTAATGATGCTTTAGTAACTGGCATGGGTGTCAATCAGTGGTCTGAAAATCACTGATCTAAAAGTGCCTGCTACGTCGTAGGGTCTCAAGAAATATGAACTTGGGCAATGGTAACTCACCAGGTGGCCACCAGAGGGCAGTGCTTCCCAGGGCAGAGCACAGGTGAGTGCCCGCCTCTGCTCACTTCCTGAAGGAAGAGGGCTTTTCTTCTCTTGCCACAGGTCCCAGGCTGCCCCAGTTCCTGACTGCTGGGCTCTGGCTGTCAGGCTACTCTACAGCGTTCACAGATAACGGTGACTTTTAACATGCCAAATTCTCCAAGAGCAGGTCTGATAACCTAGCTGATAATCTAGACAGAGACTGGTGCCAGGCCCTCTGTTGCGTGCCTTACACACATCTGCAATCTACCAGCCACAGCAGCCCCTCATGCTGGCGCAACGATAATGCTCATTTGACAGACAAGGAAATGGGCAGTGAGGGATGCTAAGTATTGTCCGGGGTCACAGAGCCGAGTAGCAGTTGGTGTGGGATTCTAACACTGCTCTGGAGCTGTCTAGCTCTTAGGCCTCCAATTGATCTGTCATAGTTACCATGGTGCCACTAACACATAACACATTGCTACTCCATAGCTGATCCTCAACAACGTTTGCTGAATGACTTAGTGAGTGAGGACTACCTAAGAACAAAGACTAGCCACACGCTCACTGACTGTGAGCTCGGGAGATTGGCTGAATCCCCTGGAGCTCTGGTTGCCCTGGATGAAAATGGGATAAAATTACCTCTCAAGAGATTATGATTAGGAAGAAATGAATGTTTAAGAAGGATGGAATATGCCAGACACCCTCCTAAACACTTTTCTCATTTAATCCTTATAAGTCCTCTAGGAGTCAAGGTGTCTTATTATCCCTGATTTACATTTGATGAGCTTGAACAGAGAGCGTGCACATGCCCTTCCCCAGGAGCCACAGCTAGTGGCTACAGGCTGAGTTCTGAGCACTGCTCATGGAGCAGCCAGAGGAGACATGGAGACATGGTAACCCTTGCACAGATACAGGGGATGAACATAACAGTCTGAATTCTAGGGTGTAGGTGTGAATCTGAGGGTACCCTCCCAAGGTGGGGAGTCAATCCGGAGACACAACTCACCACCAGCAGAATTGACCTTGACCAGCACCCGTCCCTTGGTCCTGTGGTCCTCACGGGCCAGAGCTGCCATCACCTCTCTCACTGAGGCCGTCACAGGCAGATGCAGGGTCAGCACAGAGTGGTCAGGCCTGCAGATGTCGTAGGGGACTGGAGAGGAGGAAGGGCTGAGCTGTGGAAGCCGGTGCTGGTCTCCCGCCCTCACAAGGAACAAGGCAGAACCGGGGGCTTCCAAGAAGCTAGGGCACAGGTGCAGGGAGGGCCTGGGAAGGGGGCGCTCCAAGCCTAGGAAAGGAACACAGGCCAGCCTGCAGCAGAGACCCCCAAGCAGGACCATATTCCCTCAGGCCAAGGGCAACAAACAGCAGGACAAGGGAGGAGACAGCTATGCAGGTATCAAAGGTGGGCTGACTCAGTCTCCCACCTTTGTCTCCAACTCTGAAGACACCAGTGCTGCTAGGGAGGGGCTCATCCTGGCTGGGGAACCAAACAGGTGCATTCCGGGCCTGGGAGGAAAAGAGCACAAAGCTCCAGAGAACCATGCGGGGAGGGCACAGGGAAGGCCTTTGTCACCAGCAGCAGGGACCCCCACTACACCACACTGCCTAGGGCTCTGCTGGCCACATGAACCCCAGCCCAGGGAAAGCGCGGGGCCAGATTCCAAAGGAGACGACAAAGATGTGCAACATGGGCCAGTCTGTGCCCTCCAGGGTCTGCCATCTCCATAAACAGGGCCGGTGCTGGGAGGAAAACACCCCAGTTTCTTTTCTTCTCCCTCCCTCCATTTGCTACAAATGGGGCATTGTTCTAGGCACCTAAATATTCACAGCAGCCCTCCGAGAAAAGCATTTTTATCTTCATTTTATAGATGTGATAAATGAGACTCAGAGAAGTTAAGTAATATGCTGAAGGCCACACAACTGCTACATGGCAGAGCCGAAGACCCCAATCTGTGGTCCCTCCCTCTGTGCTCTTGTCCTTCAGGAACATTCTATCAGCTGCCCTGACACAGTGGCTGCAAGTGCCCAAGAATCTCTCCAGTGGGCTATCCTAACATGGAGTACTTTGGTCTCTTGACACTATTTCTACATCTGGTATTTTCTCTCTGGCTGTGAATTGGACCAGTCCCCAGGCCCTCTGCTCCCTGCCCCTCCCGAGATTCCTTCTCAGAGTCCCCACAATCTCAAGTGCCACCTGCACATGGACAGTGTTCAACACACCTGGGCCCTGGTCTCGAAGTCATCCCCATGGGTGACTCATTGCCCCATTCGGGGGTCCCCTCATCCTGCCTCCCAGCCATTCCTTCCTTTACGCTCCCCTGAGTCCAGGCTCTTTCCCTACTCCCCAGAACTTATCACAAGAACCCAGAAGGCTCTATTTTGAAATGGGCCCCCAGTGCTCCCTCTCCCATCCAGGCCGTCTCCACTACCCCAACCCAGGGGCCTCACTCCTATCTGCTGCAATGGCTCACTACCCCCAACCTCCCCATTCACTCACCTGAGATATTGCCACCCTCTTCCTCGGTCTACCTGAACAGAGTCACACTCAGCTGGGAAGTGAAGTCATCACTGACTGCCCCCAGCCCCCATTCAAAATGCAGACCACCCTAGCAGCCTCAGCTTGAAGCATTTAATGGTTCACAATTAGGCTCCTTGGAGGCAGGTGCTCTGGTTCCTGCCCTACTCCCTGGCTTCCTCTCCTGTCCCTCTGGCTCAGCTGAGCCCCTTCCCTCAGCTCCCCAAGCTTTCATGGGGGTCAGCCAGTCAGCACCTCCCCGCTTGCTTTTAGAGACTTCTCAGTATCACAAGCTGTTTTACAGCTCTGCCCCTCGCTCCTCAAGTGGCTTTGCCCCTCTTTGCCATATCATAGCCAGCAAGTACAGAACTTGGCAAGCCACAGCTGCTGACATTGATTCCTGAGCATCAACTATGTTCTAGGCAGTGTGTGAGCTCAGGGAAAACAAGTAGAGGCCCCTCACATACAAAGTGGACACCTTAATGGTATGTGACAGGTGGGAAACAAAGCAGCAAACCAGGGAAGATGTCCACAAGCTGAGGGGACACTAAAGAAATTAGGCCAGACGCCTGGGGGATGCCCCGGTAGGAGGGTGGGAAGGCGTCTTGGAACACACATTCTGGCTGAGTTCAGAACAAGAAGGATCTACAACAAAGAAAAGGTCCATGCGGAAAGACAAGTGCAAAGGGCCTAGGTGAGGTCGACTTCTACAGTAGAGAAGGAGCCAACGGGAGCCTCTGGCTGGCAGGAGGGTGAGGCAGGATGGAACTGGGAGGCCAAGGGACTGATGACTCCCCACAACCAACCCAGGCTATCTTCTTCCCCACCAGCCCCCGCTGAGAATGGGCTGGCTACCTGAATGCCTGGGACGGCCCTTATCACATCACCTGGACTCCTACAACACCAGCCAACAGAAACCCTTGAGTCTCAGGGGCAAACCCAGCCACCTACCTCATCTCCCAGCTTTACCACAGGCGTGGATCACCTCCCAAAGAAATAAAAGCCACTTAGGGTGGGATGAAGCTGTTCCCTTAGAGCTTACTGGCTCTCCCACAGGGCCCTCTTCCATGCACCCATCCCAGGCTGATGGGGAGGTCTGTCTGTGGCTGGGGATCCCTCCCATACACGGTCCCTCTGGGTTGGGGCTGGAGGAGCAGAGGTGAAGGAGCCAGGCCAGGCAGAGGGCAAAACAAGAAGCAGGGCAGGCACCTTGATCTGAGGAGATGCATTTCCACAGCCATTCTCCAACCTGCAGAGCAGAGAAGAGGGAAGGTTGGAGAGCCACTGGGCACCTCTGCAGGCAGGACACCGCTCAGGGTCAGCAGCCACAGTGGTCTGGGTCCCAACTCACCCTCCCTAGAAGTTCAGAGGGTCATGGTGAGGAGTGTACATGTGGCGCAAGATGGACTTGAGGCAGGGACTGGCCTCTGTGATTTCTGGAGGCCAGAAGGGAAAGGGATGTGGCAAGGAGACACAGGCCCAGGGCTCTGGATAAGCTCTTGCCCTTGAACCCCACCTACCCCATGAGTGGTCTGGGGATACGAGGCAAACTCAAAGGAGTTGATGGGCAAGGCTGGTGGAAATCAGCACTCAAGGTAGCCCATAATAACCATAACCTGGTCACATGGAGGAAGTGAGTGTACAGTACACTCAGTGTATGGAACGAGCAAATAAACAATGGCAGGGTGAGTAGGAATAGAACCAGGCTGATAAGAAACCTTTGAAATAAGCCGCGCTGCCCAGACTGAAGCCCGCGCTGGACAGAGAGCGAGCTGCTCGGCCCTGATACACTGCCTCACAAACAGGAGAGATAAATTTCAGTCAGGGTCACCTGTGGTGCCGCCGCCTCTCCGGCCACTGCTCCCTCAGCAAATTGTTAAGTCGGGCATCCCTGCTCACCAGATCTGAGAGTTTCTGTGAAAAGCCAAGAGTCAGCCCCTGGGATGCCTACAGCCGTGTCTTCATGAGCAGGCCGGCCTCTCTCCCAGGTACCTGGAGGAAGCTGGTGGCGACAGGGTCTGAGTGGAGCATGGGGCCATACACGGCCACCCACCGGCCGACCAGCCGCAGGATCTGTTGCCTCTTGTTACAGATGTAGGTGCTGCGCTCCTGCTCGCTGCCTCCAGCAGGCTCTGCTGGCTCCACATGGAAGGTGGGCACCAGTCAAGGGAACTAAGATATGTAGGTGAGGCCACCCACCATACCTGATTAGAGGAAGTGAAGGGCCTAGTTGGGCCCCTGTGCACAACATGAGGGAGGGGTCACCACAGGAGCCACTTTGACAGGGATTCCTTCCCTCACCTCCACACACCATGCCATCCCCTACCCACATCACCCTGGGGCTGGAAGGATATTGGTGCAGGAGGGCAGTGCAGAGCTGGGCGCTGGGCATGAAGACACTGTGGGTCAGGAGGAAGTCACTGAGGAATGTTTCTGTTGGGCAGGGTTGGAGACAGAAAGGGATCTGAGAAGCCAACTCATAGCACAGCTATTTCCACAGCTGGAGCATCGTTCCCAAAGCCCACCCCAGGCAGGGTAAGCCCAGCCCCTGTGACAGCACTATCCACCCAGGCCAAAAGCATTTCCTGCCAACTGCCTTCATGGGCCAATCCAGCACCTGATGAGTATGCCTGGCCTCTCCTTGGCTTCAGTGACCTCCTGATGATTCAGAGAATAGGCAGCGTCTCTTGCTCCTACCTGTTGGGTCATGAGCACTGGAATCTGGACGCATAGCCTCCAACAGGAGTTCTAGGATCTTCTCTGGAGTGCCAGACATCACCGTATACCTAGCAGAAACTGTCAGTCTAGAGCACATGTGTCTCTCCTTCTCCACACCCCCCAGACAGACATTAATAGTTGATCATATCAGTCCTGACTTGCCAGGCCTGATTTGGGGAGAAGGTGCTGATTTGGGGGTACATCCTAGTCCCTCAATGCCTCTCATCCCCAAATGGCCAGAGGGCAGGGGTTTGACATGGGAAATGGAACAGCTATGGAGCAGTGTGGAGAGGGATGTGGTGGGCATGTTACCGGTTCCTGCCTGGGGTTGGGGGGCGAGAAGGGCCAGTGCCCTGGAAAGTTCTTTCCAGCACCAGTACCACTTTGCCATGTTCCTCCAGCCTCATGGTCTTCGCTTCCACATCCTGGAGGAGCCATGCCAGTGCTCAGTGCGGGAGACGGCTCTTTAGACACTCCCCTCCACTACCTCCCTTCCAAACCCTGAGCCCATGAGGCTCCTTCTCCAGACCCACCAGACCCACCAGACCCACGTCCAGACCCATTCTCCAGACCAGATCTCAGCCTCTCCACCAAGCTCACCCCTATGGACCCAACTGCAGCCTCTGCACCCTGATCTCCCACACCAAGCTGAGGGTCTCCCCTCCCAGCCAAGATTCCAGGTCTCCTTACAGGATCTCTCTGGTGCTGACTTTATCCCACATCACTTCTTTGGGCCCATGTCTTCTGCTTTCCCTGCAACCCAGGCATACCTTGATGATGCGATTGAAGTCCTGCTTGTCCACACGAAGAAAGTGACAGTTGTCTTCTCTAAGGATGATGGTGGCTGCCCTGGGTGCATCGTTCACCAGAGCCAGCTGTCCAAAGTCATCTCCTTCATGCAGTGTAGTCACTAGCCCCTGAAGCCAGGACTTAGTCATAATCCAGCCTACCCTAGCCCTCCTGGGACAGACCCAGACAGATGTGTGGGATCTGCAGCCTTAGGACTAGCAGAGAAACTGCCCATAAGTATACAAAGCAAGGAGCAGTGACAATCTAGGGCCATGCAGTGAGCTGTATGAAGGACTCACCTTGCCATGGGTCACCACATTGACAGATCCCTTCCAGATAATGTACCATGACGTTCCCTTGTCCCCTTGGCTGAACACTGACAAGAGGTACAGATCAGACGCATCCCCTCCTGTCACACACCAACTACCCCCTGGTCCCTGCCTTTGTGGCCAAACCCAGCTTACAAACGGTCCCTGCCTTGCTGTGTGGTTCGAAGAGAAGTACAGCTGCTAATTCCCGCTTCACCTAAGGATGGGAAGAGGAAGGTCAGTGACAGCACACTTGCGGAAAGAGGGACAGGCTGGGGAGGAAGGTCAATTTGAAGATATGAAATGGAGCACTGGGGGATAGAGCTGAGTCTGGACCAGTTGTCCCTGGGATGTGGCGTAGATGTGGCAAGGGAAGTGGCTGAAGGAGATGAGAAGATATTTATACTGAGGGCCAAGGCTAAGAAATTAGGTAGAAATCTTCAAGCCATAAACAAAGTGAGGGGACTGCCCCCCCCCTCAGTCCAGCAGTGGGAGCCCAGGGGATCCTGGAGGAGAAGGTCTGGGGAAAGGGCAGGCTTGTTGACTGACCGAGTTAGAGAGGTGGGCCACGGCCTTGATGTGTAGTAACTCCTCGAAAATAAGGTCCAGCTCCTCATCTGTGCGCTGACCTGGGCTGTGAGAACAGGAGCAGAGGGAGCCCTGAAAACCGTGGCCCAGAGCCAGGGAGGAGAGCCACCCCACCCACCTGCCTGGGGGCCTGTGGCCAGATGGAGGCTCCACTGATCAATCAACTGTTATCAATAATGAGCTACCTTTGTAGGTGAGCTGCTGGTGCCAGGCACTGTGCTAAGCGCCTTTCACGCATTATTTCATTTCAACCCTCACAACAACCCTGTGACATAAGCACTATTATCTTCGCTTGACAGAAGAGGAAGTTGCTAGAGAGGCCCAAGGTCACCCAGTGAGTAGCTGGTTGAGCTAGAATTTGAACCCCAATCTGCCTCAGAGTCTAAAGCCCTCACTCTCTGTTGGTGGGGAAGGTCTTCAGACCCTCTGGTCCAATACTCTCATGGATAGAGGAAGAAACAGGCTGCAATGTGGGAGCTGAGATCACTCAGCAGATCCATGGGCTTAGGCTTCTGATCCTGCTAGGGGTCCTTCCCCCCAGGGAAATCGGAGAGCCAATGGGATCTGAACTGAAGGCCACAGGGGACTGGGAGCGGGGCTTGCCACTCACGGCTTCCGCAGTGCCACCGTGAGCAGGGCGTCAGGGCCCCGCTGAGATAGCAGGGCCATTGCCTCAACCAGCTCCTCCTCCACCTCGTGAGCTGCTGAGGGTTCAAGCTCAGGCCCAGAGAATCGGTAGAACTGGGCATCTCGATCCTGGAAGGTCCAGTCGTGTTTCACTGGAGGAGAGGCCAGGCATGTTGGAGAAGAGGAAGTTAGGCCAGGTATGAAGTCCCCACTATGATGCTAAGCCCTCTGCAGCCCCTGTCAGTGCCCACTCCCCAGGTCTGCCCTTCCATCTCTACCCAGCCCTGGTGCCCCAATCTGGGCTCAGCTCACCATGGCAGAGGGCACCTTCATCCAGCAGCACCTGGCAGATGCCCACAGCTTGGCTCCGTGAATGGACCCCAAGTCCCAAGGCCAAGATCCCATCTACCAGCTCCCGGCCAGAGCAGCACTGCCTGTGGAAAGTGGGAGGAAGCCAGAGAATCAGAGGGGGTGAGAAGGAACTATTGGTAAGGTAGCAGCGAGGTCCAAGCCCAGTTCTCCCCCACAACACAGGGCTTGGCCAAGATGCCTGGAGGAGGGTGGAAGAGGAGAGAAAGGTGTGGGATGGTGAAGGGCAGGCAGGACGTCCACTCACCGATAGAGCCGGAGATGATATTTTCGGTCCCGGATGAGGGTTGGGCAGGTGGCAAGGAGATGTCGGTGTAAGTGCTTCCCTGCCCGGAGCACACGCTCTGTGGAGGCCTGTGGGGGAGGGAGGGCATGGCTACCTTAGGCTTTGACCCCTCAGCCTGCTCCTCCTCACAGTTCCACCTTCCCAGGTTCCTACCTGCTCAAGGTTCACACTGAAATCCAGAGACTCCTCGCTGTTGGTGAGAGGTGTCTAAGGGTAACAGAGAGAGTTCGAAGGTCAATGGGAAACTTTCAAACTCTAAGTGGGACCCCTCCCTGCCCCACTCACTCCTGCCGTTGTCCAGTCCTGGCCCTAATGCGTCCATGTAGCCTTTATGCCACAAATAAATATTCGTTGCATGCCCTGTGTGCCAGGCACTGCCTCTTCCCTGCCTCACTGCCTCTCTCAGTGGACACTTCTTTCCACACCTGAATGCTGCAGTCACGCAAGTGAGTCCTGAGATTCCCACTCTGCTCACCCAGGGCCTGTGTGTACCCAGGCTGCCAGGCAAACAGCCCTTGTGTATGGTTGGTTACAGTGGAGCTGAAAGAAGCAGGAAGATATGATACAAGATTCTTGAGAGGCCAGGGCATAAACCCTTCTGGAGGCCTAGGAACTCTGGCTCCTGGCTAGGCCTGCAGGGCTGACCCCAAGCTCAGGTCTGAGGGCAGACCTTGGGCCTTCTGAAGGGCTGTGGCTCACTTAGCTATAAACACAAACCCTGGAGCCAGGCTCCATATTGATGGTGAGGCCCTCTCCCTGACTTGGTTTCCTTATGTACAAAATCTCTCAAGCACGAATAAGGAGCTCATGAGCTTTCGGAGACCCTCATGAGTTAACACATACTGCACATTTAACCATGACCCAGTGTGTGGTCGTGTGTGTGTTAGCTATCATTATCCAGTGAAACACAGGGTGGGGCTGGCTGGAAAGGCTTCTCTAGGAGATGCTGAGAGTCCAGAGCCCCGTAAGGGTGAGTAATGCCTTGGCAGTCTGCAGGACTGGCTGAGGAAGAGGAAGAGGGTTTATCATAGAAACACTGGTTAACAAGGCTCTGCAGCTCCAGGTCGCAATGGAACCACCAGGAACTCTGGGACCTGTGTACCCTGGCATACCATCCTCAAAGGCCCCTCACAACTCCCTTTTCCAATTATCTGAAAACTAGAGTTTTATGAACAGCGCTGGACAGGGTGTCCTGCACGCTACAAGCCCCTCCCATAGGCAGAGCCTTTTACAGCTTACAAAGCATGTCTGCCTCCTTGATGTCACCACATCCTAGGAGTGATGGGCAGAGCAGGGCTTATCTGTTCCCCTGTGACTTGTGGGGAAGCAAGTCTTGAGGTGAAATGCCCTGTGTAGACCAGCCATGTGTTTGCAGGACTGCCAGCCAGTGGTGGGCAAACTGGAGCTCCTACCCACAAGTGGTCTAGTTCTTGGTCCCACTCCACCCACCACCTACCTGATTCCTCTTCCTCCCCTTCCTCTCCTGCTTTCCCAAGTGTACTCAGGCCCTAGAAAGGCCTTGGCCGGAGAACTCCCCTGAGACTGGCAGATTCTAGGCACAAGCATGTTGCTACTATACCCAGGCAAAAGCCTGAGGGCTGGGATGCATGCCTAGTCCAATGCTGGATGGAAGTCTCTAGGTGTCCCAAGGGTATCCCTGTCCAGGTCATGGGGCCCAGTTGAGTGCCAGACACAGAGCCCTAGAGACTTAAGGACAGGAAATGAGGAGGAGGAGGAGCCAGGAAGGGAGGAAGGGCAGGAATGCTATCCAGCCAGGTCCCTATTTCGGAACAAACAGTGCCTGAGTGCTAATGACTTCTTGTTATTCATGTCAAAATGCCCAAGTCATCCTAGTTCCTGCCCCAGCTCCCTTTGAAGCCTACAGCCCAGGCTTCAGCACAGGCTCCCTTGTTTTGTTTTGCTTCTGAGGCAGGGTCTGCATAGGCCAGGTCTAGGTCACTGTGTAGCAGAGGATAACCTTGAACTTCTGATCCACCTCCCTCTACCTCCTGAGTAGCTAGAATTACAGGCATGTGCCACTACATCAGGTTTAAGCAGTATGGGGATCAAAGTCAGGGCTTCATGCATGCTAGACAAGCACTCTACCAACTGACCTACATCCCCCAAACATTCCCAGCCCACCCTTCCTGGAATTATTCTGGTCTAAGAGGGCACATGACCAGGTTGGTCATTTCCTGCCCTACCCCAGGGGATGGCCACAAGGGTCAGAGAATAGTGGCCTGAGAATGGAACCTTAAGGCATTTCTTTTTTTTTTTTAAGATTTTATTTATTTATTTATTTATTTGTTTATTTATTTATTTATTTATTTATATGTGTGTGTATCTGTGTATGTGTGTGTGTGTGTGTGTGTATGTATGTGCACGACATGCATGCAAGTGTCTATGAAGGCAAGAAGAAGGCCTAGAATCCCCTGGAACTGGAGTTATAGGCAGTCGTGAGCCACCAGATACGGATGCTGGGAATTTAACCCAGGTCCTCTGCAAGAGTAGCAAGTGCTCTTAATCACTGAGCTATCTCTCCAGCCTCAAGGCATCTTAAAGTTGAAGCCTAGAGAACCACTGTTCAGAAGTTGAAGGTTCTAGGCAATGCCTCTGTGCCCAGTGCTGCCCCTAGAAGCAGGTGTTTGTATTCTATTTCGCAGCCAGAGAAAGGTTACATAACCAGCTTGAAAAGGTGGTAAACACTGGCCTGTCTGACTCCACAACCCACACTCTCAGTACCACCCCCACCATTTCCCATAGTGGTAACCCCTTCACTCCCAGGTCACAGACTCAGAGACAGCAGAGGCATTCTGCCCTCCAGAATGGCCCATGGGCAGGGCGAGAGACAGGCTTGTTACCATTGCTGTGTCCCCACACCACTCCTGTGCATGGGGGCCCTAAGGAACAGGCACTGGACATGTGTATGACCTCTAGAGCTAGATGCCTGGGTTCAAATGCTGGTTCCTGCATAACAGCCAGGATATGTGACACTGTGCTGATACATCACTTCAGTCCTCAGTTTATTTGTGAAAGGAACTGATGCAAATAACAGTATCTACCTCACAGGGTTATTATCATATTATTAGATGAGTTATATAATCTCAAACCCATGGAGTAGCACCTGCCTCGCAGTTACTGCTTAGTAAATGTAAAACATTTTTACTTTATGTGCATGAGTGTTTTGCCGGCATGTATGTAAATGCACCACATGCGTGCAATACCTGAAGAGGCCAGAAGAGGGTGTAGGAGCCTCTGTAACTGGAATTACAGATGGTTGTTGGCTTTCAAAGGAGGTGCGGGAAATTGGACCCAGTACTCTTAACCTTTATTTATTTATTTATTTATTTATTTATTTATTTATTTTTGAGACAAAGTTTCACTATGCAGACCTGACTGGCCCAGAACTTGCTATGTAGACCAGGCTGGCCTCAAACTCACTGAAATCCACCTACCTCTGTTTCCAGAGTGCTGGGATTAAAGGTATGTGACATCACACCCAGCCTAGCAACTCAGACTTTCTTATTTATTGCCCCCACACAGCACAAAATATGCATCATGCCTGGCTATGGTCCGGATCTCATGACATTGAGTATCAGTTCGGGGTTCTCTGTTGGAAAGCAGTGGCTGGCGGGGTGAGGTGAAGGTCCTCACCTACCAGCCCCTCTCAGTCCAGGGCAGGAAGGATTCAGGGTGGAAAGGGAGGTACTAAGTCTCTTGGCACTAGCCTGATGACCTGCCCCACCCCCTCCTTGTCACCCAGTGTCAGAGCCTGGCTAGAGGGACAGTCAGGGAGTTGGACAGCCTGGAGACCCACCTGACCAGTTCCTGGGGTCATGGCTAAGTTCATAGGCCAGGTTGTGCATGGGGCAGGAATGTAGAGGGGGTGAGTACTACTCTCTGCCTAGCTCCTGGGCACAAAGCCCAGCAATCAGCAGGCAGCTGTGCAGCCCTGACCCTGCCACTTGACTTCTCTGTGCCTCCCTTTTCACATCTGTAAGATGCTGAAGGCATTAGGACTGATTCCATAGGGCTGTTGTGAGCATTGTTTGATATGACAAAGATGAAGTTGTCATAGAACACGGGACCCAAGTATTGTGACTCTTAGCCACTCCCATTATTTGGACAGATTAAATGAAAATGTGTCTTCTGTTTTGGAAATAGAGCCCCAAACTGTCATATAAAGAGAAGCATCCCAGGCCTCCTTGAGCCTGTGAGGCCCACCCAAGGCCACCTGATCTTTTTCCTGCCCCTATACATCATACAAAACCTCGTTTCTCCCTCACATTTTCCAAAGATGTTCTCTAACGCATTGCAGTATCACTTTTGGCACAGTTGGTAAGTCCTTTCTACGTCTGATCTCAAACCCTTCTGCTGTGCCCTGCTTTCTTTTTCTCTCATCCTGGGCTAGGTAGGAACAGAGAGAGATTTTTTGAGAATTCTTCTTGGGCTTTCTAGGAGGTAGAAGTGGCCTGAATAACCCAGCCCTGTCTTCCTGGGCTCTGGGCTCACCGTCACCCTGTGTGTGCACATGCCCTGTTGGCACTTGTTCCCTTGAAGGAGCACTTCACGAGCCAAAGGAACCATAAAAGAGGCAAGAGCTACGGCCTCTCAGGTGCCCAGGGAGCCCCTTCACACAGGCACAATGGACTGGCACCAGCCACTGAAATGGCACGGTGGAGAGTAGGAACAGTGGTCTCCAGTCACAGGTCCCCACTTCCCCCACACCCGCAAAGGAGGGCCTTGTTTCTGGGCCTTTGACCCCATTCACAATGCAGCAGCCTCCACCACCATGTTTCCGGCCTCCCACACAAGCTGGCCCTTCCATTCTGAGGCCTGTGGGGAGTTAGGAGACTGTCTGGCGGCCTCCTCCCACCCTCTCCTTGACTTTAGGGTCTCAGGAGATCCCCAGTGACCTCATTGTCCTGGTACCTGACCTTCTCTTCCCACCCCCTACCTAGCTTCTCCAAGCTGGGAAGGGGACAGGAAATGTAAATAATTATAGTCTGAGAGGGAAAGAGGGAGGCAGGGCTCCAGCACACTGGCTCCCAGCAGGAGCTACTGCAGTGACCCAGAACCTGAGTTGGGAGTAGGGGCAGGACCAGGCCCTCCCTCAGACCCTATTAGAAAGACACAGGGAGAGAGGGGCAGGTAGGGTCTCAACTCCAGTGCCAAGAGCAACCCCTCCTCTAGACGGCCTGGGGCTTTCTCAACTCAACCTCCTATCTTGGAAATGGAAATGGTTTTTGGACAAGGTAGGAAAGGAAGGAGGTTGTGGTGGCTGTTTTACTCAAAGGGACTTGTTGATGAGAGGTGAGTCTCTTCAAGTTTATCACCTGCTCCTGTCTTCCCTCCACTCAACCCAGTACCCTCCACCCCCTTCAGACACACACATGGGTACACACAGCACACACTTTGAGGGACTCAGCTGAAGAGACTGTTAAGCCTGGTGGTTGGAGAGACAGTATCCTTGGTGATTGGTGTCCACCCTCTCCCCTTCCTAGCCCTGTCCTTCTGCAGCCTGTCCACAGACAAAAGAAACTGCAGTCATCCTTCACTCTGCAAACCTCTCAGGATCTGCCTGAGTTCCCCACAGCCAGATGCCAAGCCCTGTCCACATGAATGCCTCACCCCAGGAGTGAAATACAGAATCAGCCCTGTTCGATTGTTCACTAAATGAGACGTTGCCACGGTGACATGTCAAGAACAGTAACCAAGCTAATTTTACCCCCACTTGACCTGGCCCCATATCTCCCACGGTCACCAGGACAAAAACACACAGCAATTAAGTCAATGCCTGGCACACTGGAGGTGATGGATAAATGGAAAACCCTTTCCTCTTCAAGGGTGGTTGAACAGGGCACCCCACACACTGGACGCACAGGCTGCAGCTGTGTGAGCACCCATGCACACTGCCACCAAGCTTCCCCAAGCTTTCCTGCCTTCTGCCCACCCAGCACCCCTGGAGCAAACTATCTGGCCCACCAGCACTGCAGTCTGGTATAGCTCTGGTATCTCACCCAGCCTGGCAGGTGGCGTGGACTCACCCAGCGAAGCCCCTGGATGTGGCTGGGTGGCCTGTGCTCGAACACCAGCTGGTAGGAGCAGCTCCGGGGCAGGTGCATCCTCTTCAGCACCATGTTGAGCAGCGACCCCTGGGGAACCACGTCAGGGAGACCCCCCACTTGCGGCGCCCCCACAGCTAGACTCTCTTCCACAGCTGGGCCCACCTGCCAGTGGCTCTCACCTGGCCAGCCGACCTGTGGTGTAGGGAGAAAGGTAGTCGGCCATGGGCTGAGGCAGCTGGACCGCTGTACTACTGCCCCGGGCAGATCTACTTCCTTAGAGTCCTCTGGACTGGTCAGGCGGAGGTGCTGCAGCCCTGCCAGAAGCCAGGGGAGGGACAGGAAGACCTTCCCCGGTGCCTGCTGGCCTGGTGCACCTAGGGGTCTCCAGCTGGCTTAGGGAGATTGGACCTTTCTCTGTCCTGCCGGCATGGTCCCTCCTCCCGGCCTGAGGCTGTGCGCTCACCGGACCCCAGACGCAGCTGTACCTCGAACCCTCCTCCCCACTACCGTCTCCCACCCAAATTCCCCACGGTGTCGGCTTCCTCTCCCTCCCTCGCCGGCAGTGCTCTTTGGTCCCGACCCCACCTCACCCACCTTCATTTCTTCTGCTCACACAAGCTGTGCAGGCTTCGTGCAAGAGGCTGGAGGATCCCGGCGCGCTCCAGGTTGCTCACCCGGGATCCCCGAGGGGGTCGGTGAGTCCCGGAGGCCACTTCCGAGCAGGACCCGCTGCCAGAGGCAGCAGAAGGCGGGGCTGGGTAGGGAGGCTCGTCTCGGGTGAGTGGAGGGCTGGGGGTGTAGAGGAGCCCCCCACCCGCCCCGAAGACTAGGAACCCCGAGCCTCCTCCTTCGCCCCAGAAGAGCCAGCTGGCACCCGCGCTGGAGCGAAGCTGCAGTTGGCACTCGTCCCGCCGGGAGCTGTCACACCCCCAGTGCTGCCCGCCCCTTCCCCTCCCCGGGACCCGGACCGGCGGAGGGGGCGAGGAGGAGGCACTTTACCATAAGGGAGGGCGCAGAGGAAGGGGCCGGACCGTCAGTGGGTGGTGTCCGGACCCTGGGTCTCGGTACCGTGGGCACCGGCCAGAGATCTGAGAAGCCCCACAGGGTAGGACCGGCCCCAGGGTGTGTGCCTTTGCTGCTGCTGGGGTGCGTCGGGTCGGGGGAGGCTGCACCCGCCGCCACGTGGCCGGGAGAAGAAATGCAAACAAGGAAACCCTGGAAGGGGGAGGGAGTGAGTCACTGCGGCCTCACCCGGGAGGGAAATCCGGGCTGGGGCCGCTTCCCGGCCAGGGGCGTCCTGCCTCCAGGTTCGGTTTAGGGTCTCCCGCAGCCCCGGGAGGAACTGGGCAGCCTTCCCGTGGGGAATCCCGCCGTCTAGCTTCCCATC